GGTCCAGTGGTGAGAATCTTTGTCTTCTTGACATTGAGCCTCAATCCATATTGTAGGCTGCAGTCCTTGACACTCTGCAGCAGGCGCTTTAGGTCACTTGGAATATACCCCAAAGAAATCATAACTGCCACCCAAGCAGAGATATACACACCCATGTTTATTGTGTCTTTGTTCACAGTAGCCAAGAGTTATAAACAACCTAAGTGCCTGTCAACAAATGAATGGATAGAGAAACTGTGGTATATTCACACAATGGAATATAAGCTGCATTGAAAAACAAGGAACTCATGAAATATTGTTCAAAATGGATGATGCTGGAGGACATTATGCTGAGTGAAATATCTCAGTCACAAAAGGACAAATACTGCACTGTTGTAAAATGGAACTGACATAGGGGTTGGAGGGGAGAGAGAGAATGATGGGATAAATTATGTATACTGCATTGAATCAGATGAGAGAACTGTTTAAAAGGTATACATGATTAGGTATTATTGTCATGACATGAGTCCAGAACAAAGGCTGCATAGTGAAGTGCACTTTGGGGGAGGGATTGTGTAACAGTGAAAGAATTTTTCCTTTACTTTTCAAAGAGAAGAATGAACTGGAGGGGCAGGGTGGGCAGGGAGAAAAGTGCAACAGTGAATGAATGGAAATCCAAAATCTCTGTAAATTTTTATTAAAATTAATAAAATAAATCAGAAAAAAATAAACAACATACTTAATTTGCATGTTCCCACCCAGAAGGCTCTATTTCCCTTCATATACATGATTTGCATAGCCTCACTGAGCCACATTGTGAAAGTTAAAGCCAGTTTTCCGCAATCAGTTTACCAAATCATACTAGTCACCTTGTTTTATTTCCTTTGATTTTCAATTGCAATTAGCAAGAAATATTGGGTGAAATGTTTTTATTCTGTCATACCTGCAACTATTAGTTTCTTACTGCTTTCTAATACCAATTTCTGTAGTTTGTAACTTTTCTTTGTTCTTTTCCAGGCAGATGAAAAGAAAACAATGTCTGCCAACCTGAAATACCTCTCTTTGGGAATTTTAGTCTTTCAGACTACCAGCTTGGTTTTAACAATGCGTTATTCTAGGACTTTAAAAGAAGAGGGACCCCGTTATCTGTCATCTACTGCAGTGGTTGTGGCTGAAATTTTGAAGATAATGGCCTGCATTTTACTAGTCTACAAAGACAGCAGTAAGTATTCAGGTTTTAGGGTTTTTGAAGTAAACACAATTTATTGTTTTGATGTTATTTGCATGTCATTTATTTAAATATATATTGGTTGCTACACTTTTCAATACTATTTTCATTATCTAGTGCCCTGATTTTAAGCACCTTTCAATGTTTTTTTATTTTATTAAGACAATTTTAGTCTAATTTTATTCTGCTGTATTAAAACATAATTTTGGTTTGTATGCTGTGAATACAAAGTATAATTTCTTACATTTATATTAAGGATAAGAATATCAAACATGTAAGCAAATGCATTTTTAATTACCGGTTGTTGCAATGCCAAAGGTATAAAGAAGCGTCAATAGTTGGAAAATATAACCTTTGTGATAGAAACTACAGTGACTACATGATGCACTTTTATAAGATCAATGTCAACAACTTATTTCACGTACCTTTTAGAACCTAAAGAGTGATTTTATACAGAGACTTCCCCAGGTAGAATATACCAGAATTGAATCACTTATGTTCTTGCAAAAAGATGTAATCAGTACAAAATAAGTGGTCCTCTGCAAAACAGACTATTAATTGATTATTAATTGATGCAAGTTCAGGTTGAAACGTAGTCCAAAATAGCCAACATAATGACCTTGACTGTGTATCTCACCTGAGTTTGGAAACTTTATCAAGAACAGATTTGATTCATTGAATCCTAATGATCAAAACCCAGATACATTAGCATCAAGCATGTGAGGGTAACAAAGCAACATTAAAAGGACAGCAGAACAGATACAAAAAAAAAAAAAAGGACAGCAGAGAAAGAAGTGATCAAACTGGAAGTCAAAATGAACTCTTACACTGTCTCAAAGTAGCTAAAACAAATGAAAGAAGTGAAGTAAAAGAGCTATACAGTTTTCCATGGATAACTCAGGAATACAGATTATAAAATATTACAGTGAAATGTGCAATGACCTGAAGTTAGAAAATCAAAAGAGAAATCCAAGCAAGGTAATGTTTGATTAAACTGGTAGCTTAATGGTAAGGCATTGTGCTATCTACCCAAAGGCATATGATTCAAATCCTTAAGTAGCTCCACAGGAAGAAGATGGGCATTTTCCTCTTGTGTGATTAACTGCCTCAGAAAAGTCTCTGAAGGTCAGCTATAGATCAGTTCCGATTCAACAGCACACCACAGCAACACCAAAAACTAAAATGGTAATAGTGCTTGAGGCGTTAGTGACCGTAGTGTACCACTTGCCATGAAGTCAACTCTGACTCCTTCCTAGAATCTTCTGGTAGAGTTTTTGGAAGTAGTTTGCATGGCATTCCTTGAACGGAAAGATAATAAGAAAGAAAAAAATTCAAGCTCTGAGTTGAAATATTGAAGGACTCGGTAAACAAAATGGAGATATGATGGCATAGTGGACAAGAATTGTGGTACCAACCCAAAGGCAGGAAATTCACATTCACCAGCTGTTTAGTGAGAAAAAGATGAGTAGTGTCTTCCTGTGCAATTCACAGCTTCTCAAAATCTGCTGGAGAGTCATTATGAGGTGGTTCCTAATCAATGACAAAATATTGAATGTAATAAGACATATTAAAAGAAGATGGAAGGAAAACATAAAAACCAGAGCCACTGTATCAAATAAAAATTGGTTTAGGGAATCTCACTGCCATCAAGAAAGAAGAAAGCATGCAGTGTGTCCTGTGAATCAGATTATTGCATGAAACAGAGACAAGACTGAGATGTGGCCATTATATATGCAATAGCACTAGTGATAGGGAACCACAGACCGATATAAGACAGAGCTGAACTAAATCTGCTGCCCCATGGAGCTGGAGCTGGAGCCTGTGCCAGGTTTCGTGGCCACCTGGGTTTACAGGCTGAGTAGGTTTGCAAAGACACATAATTCATGGAACTAAAAGTGCTTTCTTTGTTAGAGGGCCCAGAACCTAGAGGCCAAAGGTCAGAGTACACCTGAAGCTGTCCTGACAGATTTGTATCCTGAATATTTCTGGCCTGAGTTATAACCTTTTGTTGTTGTTATGTGCCATTGAGTCGCCTGCGACTCATAGAGACCCTGGGTACAGCATCTCTGAAGTCTGCTCTGTCCTGAGCCATTCTCACTGATTCCAACACGCCACCCCCATTGCTCAAGTTACTGTATCAATCCGTCTTACCCAGTGTCTTCCTTTCCTACGCTGTACCTTCACCCTTCCAAGCATGATGTCCTTCTTCAAGGACCAGTCTCTCCTGGCTATGTGTCCAAAGTATGTGAGACAGAGCTTCAAAATCCTAGCCTCCAAGGAGAACTCTGGTTTCACCCTCTCCAAGACAGACCTGTTTTGAGAAATGAGTGACATTCTTGGCTGTGAAATTGAATTTTTTAAGTTTCTTTAATATAAGTTTCTTTTATTTAGCTTTCATACCTGCACTTACTTGTTTAATGAGATTTCATCTTCTTCCTTATGTGCACAGGACCAGTTTCATAAGCATAAAAACCACTACTATCTAGTCAACTCCAACTTCCCTAATAAACTCCATAATCATGAGGAAAGAAAGGGGGGAAACAGGGAGGATTGGTAATGGTTAGCCATTCAGGAAGTTAACATATAATCCAGAGTCAATACTATTAAGTAAGAAGTTCAAGCAATATTGAAAACACTGGCAAAAATAATCAGGTCTCCAGTAATTGATGGAACACTAATTAAGATGTTTCTGTAAACATGCCGTGCTGGAGATGTCCCTCATCTCTGCTAAGAAATTTAGAAGACAGCTACCTGGCCAAGTGATTAGAAGAGATCTATATTTGTGCATATTCCAAAGAAAGGTTGATTGAACAGGATGCAGAAATTACTAAGCAATATCAGTAATATCACCCATATGCAAAATTTTGCTGAAGATAACTCACAATCAGCAGTACATGGACAGAGAACTACTTGAGCCAGATTCAGAAGAGGATGTTAAATGGAGGATATATCAGTGCTAGTGTCAGATAGCTCTTAATTGAAAGCAAAGAATACCAGAAAGATGTTTATCTTTGCTTTATTGACTATTCATTGGCATTCAAGAATGTGGATCATAGCAAATAATGGATACAATTGAGATGAATGGGAGTTCGAGAACACTTAACTGTATTTATGCAGAACCTGTAAATAAGCCAAGAGGTAGTTGTTCAAACAGAATGGTTACTATGTGGTCTTAAATCAGGAAAGGTATATGTCAGGGTTTCTAAGTGTATCTTTTTACTATGCTTATTCAGTCTGTATGATGAACAAATAATCTGAGAAACTGGACTATATGAGAACATGGCTTCAATATTCGAAAAAGATTCATTAACTTCCTGCCATAAGCAAATGATACATCCTTGTTTGGTGAAAGGGAATACAACTTACAGAACTTACTTAATGAGAGCAAAGATGTGAAAAGAGAAAGAGCCACATGGGGATGGCTATATCTGACCTTTACCAACTCCACAATGGGGAACTCTCCCCATCAACAACATAAAACCAATTCCCATGACGTAAGACATGTCTCTCATTCTCCCACACCTGTTTCTACTCTTCTCAACACTAATCTCACTGCTTTACTGGGTCCAGAAATCCAATGTGATAGCTCACAGACCACACAGAAACATATTAGGGTAGGCTTTGACTCCGGTTGGCAGCAAGATACACTCAGACAGGACAGCTTCTGCAATGTGCTCATAGGTGCCTCAGCTTTGAGCCTCACAGCTTTAGGCCAGTGTTACAAAGCTCTCAGTCCAGTCACTTATGGCTCTCCCTATCCCCATCCCCCAACCCTCACCACTATTTGTCCAACAAACTTGGGCAAAGGCGTCTAGTGGTGATTCCATGGGATAGCAGTCCAAAGAGCCACTCCATCTCATGTTGGTTCTCTAGTTGTCTGCTGTGGCAGCTATGGCTGCTGTTCCCAAAAGTCCTAGTCCGACCAGCAAAAGAATCTCTAGCCTCAAAGGACACATTGTCTTTTCTTGATTTTTCTTTGGTAGTGGTGAAGTCCTCCTATTCTACTGTTGCATTTGTTCAATTTAATGGTGAGACTAGCCAATCACTTTGTGGATTAGTGAGATTAGCCAGTCCCCTTGTGGGGGACTACTCGGCTAACACACCCTATTTGTCTGTTCCCTCCTGCAGTGTTAGCCTAAAAGTTGAGGAAAGGGGTTTAGCCATTACGTTAAGTCTCTGGTCTCCAGATACCTTAACTGCAGACGAGTAATCTTGCAAATTACTAACAGCTTGAGGGCTAGGATAAGATAAAGAGTGCTTCCCACACTGAGGAGCTTGACTTGTAGGACTTGTGGTGAACAAGACTTGAGAGCAGGACTTGAAGGAGACTAGAGCAAGACCCTGTTGAGAGTGATGGTGATGGAGAGATTGTGGCATTGCTATAGCAAGATGTAACCAGAGAAGTTCTGAGATAAAGGCCATCGTTAAAGGTTTTGCTGTTCTTCCCTTTGATTATGGAAGGAAAAGCTGTTTGCTGAACTGAAATAGGAGCCTGAACTAATTGAGGAATTGTATCTTGGGACTGTTGAACTAAACTCGGACTTGCATTGTGAGATATTCTTTGCCAACCCTGTTCTCAGTACCATAACTGAATCTGAGTCAACAACGAATAAACAAACCTCTTACTGCTGATGTCGCTTTAGAAGCATCATGGGACCAGGTTATGAGCTATTTATCTGCTTTTATTTTGGAGTAGTGAGGGCCTATGCTATTTCTCTCTGCCTCTGGGCTTTTCAGAAAGATGCTCATGGCCTTGTGCCTTCATGTTCCATTTTCCGCCTTCTAGATGGCAGAAAATCTACCCATCCTGATGGCAAAATCGTTAGCTAAGGAAGCCATTTTGAACAATAAACCTTTAACATCACAAAAGACTTTAAGTATGGGTTGTGATCAACATAAAGAAAACCTCACCATAAAGAAAACTTTTCACAGGGAGCTCTGGTGGTCAAATGGCTAGAAGCTATACTACAATCCCAGAGGTATGTGGTTCAAAT